CCCCAAAACCCCAAAAACCCCAAAACCCCAAAACCCCAAAACCCCTTCTCAAATTAAGCTTATTGAAAAATATGATTGAGATACCAACGCTCTATTCTCAATTGAAAACTCAACAGTTCTCCATATAAGCACTTGATTCATTTCAATTTCTTGAGTAAAGCAGAGCTAGCCCTCAAATACTCTCAAAAACCCTCAATTCGAGCGAAGATACTATATTTTCTAGCTAAAGGCATATATCTGCCTAATGGTCATAACTAACCCTCAACCTCCCTCATTAAAATCAGCCCATTTCCCTAAAAATACTTCTACAGTAGAGAAACTGACCTAAGAATGCGACAGGCCCAATGACCTTATCCCCCACATCCCTCACAAGCTTCATAACTTTTGCTAAGATCTTATAGCCAGAAGTGAGGTTCAAGGTAACCTAAACAAAGTTATCACTAAACAACTTTGAAAGTTATTGCATTTGCATCTGCTCCAAAAGTTTTTGCAAGCTATCTGATTTAGCTTTCTCAATCCTTAGCTTCTCTTTTTGGTCATCTAATTTCTTCTGCAGGGATTCTATCTCTTGGGAGTTTCCTTCCATTGGGAGGTTCTGGAGTTCCTCAAGCTGCGTTCTGAAAGCCTGCCTTTCTGCATCGAGGGTTTGTTGTAGTTTAGTTGTTTTCTCTTCCATCATTTGTGTTATACTACTGATTTCTTCATTGTGCTTCTGTTGTGTATCTGCCATTTGTTGGTCCATGTCGTATCTGACGTTTTCAAGTTCTTCCTCAATCTCATCTTGAGACTTGTAGTCCTTCATTAAGTCCTTGTATTGAGAGATGTTAGTTTCTAGGTTATGAATTTGAGTACATTTTTCAACAATTTCTTCATTTTTAGATTTAATTTCATTGGAAAGCTCAACGTTTTTACCTTGCAAGCTCTCAGCTAGGACCTTAAATCGTTGGATTTTGTCCTCCATGCTCTTCTTATGAGCTTCTTGGACCATTTCCTTGACTTGGGCTATCTCTTTCACGTGGTCTTCATCCTTCTGGTTCATTTGAACATGTAAGGAGTCTATTTTGGTTAGTGCTTCCTCTAACTTTCTCTTAAAATCTAGCTTTTCCACCTTCAAATCTGCTCATTCTTGGCATTGATGATCACTTTCTTGCAATTTCTGAGTCAACGAAGTAATTGATTGGGTTAGTTCCTTATTTTTAGAGTCAACATCTGCAAATTCTTCAGATATTGCATTATAGCTCTCCTGTAGCTGAGTATATGATTCTTGTGTCTTCCTCTCCTGTTCAGATAAAGCATCTCTTTCCTTTATCAAGCTCTGATACTCTTTCAAGAAGTCTTCCTGGAGCTTATTTGATCTCTTCTCAGCAAGTTGTTCTGTCTGAATAACTTTCTCGTCAGCAGACACCCTGAAATCTTCAAACTCTTCCTGCAAGTTTTGGTATTCAATTTGTTTGTTGGAAAGTTCTTCAGAGAGCCTAGCAATTTTCTGGTTAAAATCCTCTTGTAATTTCACCATCTCTTGGCTAGCTTCTGTACGGACATCTTCAAATTTATTGTCATTTTGTTGAGAAGCTTGCTCGATCTCTCTTTGGTGTCCTTCCTCGAGCTTTGAAATCTGCTCCTGGTGCTGAGCTTCAAGGTTTTGAACATGGAGTTCATATTGATTGCGAAGGTTTTCTAGCTCTTTATCATGCTTCTTTATCATTGAATCAATTCTCTCGTTTCCATCTTGATGTGCTGTTGAAGTTTCTGCATTTAACTGGCTTATCTCTGTATCTTTCTCGTTCAATTGTAGTTTTAAACCAGCAATTGCTTCATCCAGGTCTTCAATGACTGCATTTGCTTCATCCAATTTTTGAGTTAAAGATGTATTTTCATCTTTATATTGAGCTTCGCTTATCTGGATCATTTCATCTTTTGTATCAATTTCAATTTTGAGCTGGTCAATTTCTTCAAGTATAGACTCCTTTTGGCTATGAAGAGTTATTGACTCTTCTCTTAGCTCTGCAACATCTTTCTCTAACGCCAAAATTTCATTACTAAGCTGAGTATTTCTCTGTTGTAATTCCGTATTTTGTTTGCTAAGAATCTCATGCTTCTCTGATGACACCTTCTCTTTAGCATCTTCTTGGATTTGGCTTATTTCTAGCTCTTTTTCAATGATCTGTTTCTTTTTCTCTTCAATAGAGTTCTTTAACTGAACTTCAAGAGTTTTACAGTCATTCAAAGTATCGATGACACCTTGCTTCTCTTCTCTAAGCTGAAGCACAAGATTATCTAGTTCAGTGATTCTATTTGCGGAGTCAATTTTCTCATTCTCAAGCTCTTCTATCGTGGACCTCAGTTGTTTGATTTCTCTTTGAAATTCGATCTGCTTCTCTTGGTTCTGTCTTCTTTCATTTTCCCAATGGTTTTCTTCATCTTGGATATCAAAAGTCTGTTGCTCAGCTTTAGACTCTGCTTCTTCAAGCAGCTGCTCCATCTGAGTGATTTGTTCCTTAAGATCTCTTACCTCTTGGGACTTTTGCTTCTTCAAATTCCTGATTTCATTCCTTAGGTTCTCACTATCTTCGTCCTTCTTCCAGAACTTCGTTTCTAGTTCGTTAATTTTAACTTTTTGGCTTTGAACAGTTTGTTCTGACTCCTGTAAGTAGCTGTCTAGAGTGCTCACTTTGTTCTGGGAGATTTCTAAATCTGCATTCAACTGTTTTTGCTTTTTCTCAAGAGCTCTGATTTGGTCCTTCAATTGTACAGATTCTTCCTGAAGAGGCTCTAACTTCTTGAGTGAAGCAATGCTGTTCTTCAAATTAATGATTTCTTCCTCCTTAATACTTAGACTAAAGATTATGGGAGCGATTACTTGTTTTGTAGCTCAGCGTTGGATTTCTGGCTACCTTCATTTGCTTTAGAAACAGCTTCGTTCAGTTTCACCTCCCATTCCTTGTTAAGACTTTCTACATTGTTTGCTAAGTCAGCTTTGGACTTCTCATAAGTCTCCTGTTGCGTGCCTTGAAGTTTAGTCTTATATTCCTGAAGTTTTGACTGGAGGAGGTCTATCTCCTGTTCCTTCTTCGAAATTACTTCTAGATTTACCTTATTAATCTCTTGGGCTTGCTTTTTCAGCTCAGAATCAGGCTCTTTCTCTTTCTTCCCCAAAGTCTTATATTTCTGGTTTTCCTGAGTCAATTTCGCATTATCTTTCTTAAGAAAATCAATTTCCTGCAGGTATTCATTATTCTGAGTGACATCAGCTTGTAGCATACTCGTATATTTTGCTCGTTCTTCACGAAGTAATTTCCTCTCTTCATCAAGAGACTTTTTCTTGAGCAGGAGTTCTCGCTCAAAAGCTCTCATCATTGCTTCTCTGAGACTTCTCTTCGTACCTGTCTTTGTCTTTGGCTTGCTCTTCCTTCTAGGAGTGTAGAGCTTAACCTTCTTCTTAATAAGCTTATTTACTCTTGGTCTTCCTTAATTTATTTGGGAAACTTTACGTTTTTAGTCACGTAGTTTATCTTTTGAGCATTTGGACTGTCCTCAGCTGGGAATGGAGAAATTATCTCAGACCTGGACTCTGGAGGGTAACTGTCGGTTAGTTTCCGCTCAACTGAGTTTTCAAGCTCGTTATTTCGATCTAAAGAGTGCCCTCTAGATCCACTATTGTCGTCTATTAGAATTTTAGTGAGGTGCTGGTGATGAATATCTCCCAAAGAATCTGGCTGAAGCTTATCCATTAGTTTTAGGAATGTTTGAACAACCTTTTGTTCAATCTCCTTATCGGTGTGAGGGTCAACAGAGCTGTTCCTCTCGATTGAATCTCTTAATATTTCCCTATGTTGATTCCCTGAGGTAGCTCTCTGCTTTGGTTCTATAAGATCCATTTCTAAGGGTTGGCTGAAGGTAACTCTATTTCCATCAGTTTCCAAAATATTAGGAGGCTCGGGAGTAATTTGTTCATCTCCAGTATTAGTCCCTTCTATTCTATCTATAGATAAAATTGAGAAACTGACCATCATAAGAATTATAAACTTGGACTCTATTAAAATCATCCTCGAGTGGATTAGATTTCTTGTACCCTTCTCTGCTAGTCTGAGGGTGGAACACAAAGTTTTCATAACCTTTACTCAAAGTTTGTTGGTTGTTCAAACCAACTTCGCTAGCAGTGCTTTCTTGGTAAGACTTTTTATTAACTAAATTTACATTCCGAGAAGGCTTATTCTGGCCTAATCCCCGATTTAAGCGATTCAAATCAATAGTGGCACTAGAGCTCGAGCTCACTAGGCCCTTAGGCTTATTCCTATTCAAATTCGTAGTTGTACTAACCCTCTCAAGCCTCCTTCTATCTCGCTGGAACTCTTCTCTATCCAGAGGCTGGTACTTAACTTTATGCTGCTCGATCTCTTCAGGAATGGGCATTGCCCGGAAGTCATCTTCCTTCTGCACATTAATAAAGTTCATATTTTTCTTCTTTTTCTTAGTGCCTTGCCTTGTCTTTGTTCCTCTGCTTTTAAGGTTCTTAACGTCCATGCTTAAATTTATTTATGGGTTATTCTATTAAATGAGTAAATAAAGGGGTTTTGGGGTTTTGGGGTTTTGGGGTTTTGGGG